TGTCATTATGTAAAATCTAACTGCTCCTTTTAAATCAATACTTTTACTTTTAATAATTTAGTACAAAACGTATCAGATACTTTAAGACTTTCACTCAAGTAATATTCCTAAAGGAGAATTTAACTTTTACCAAAGTAATTTTTTGTAAGATCCTTGTACTTTTACTCAAGTATCACTTTGTGGTACTTTATACAACACTGCACAGTCCAATGAAAATTGTCCCTAAAAAACCTCTGAACCAGAACACTTGTGTGTGGTTGTATAGAAAAGGTTTCTCTATACAACTGTTCAATAGAGGGTGTGGGGACCCACAGACCTGCACCCCAGGACCTGAGGCAGACATGAGGGAGACGGGAGCCACAGACATCCAGAAGCCCCACAAAGCACAGAGCGCCAAGAGCACCACCACAGGGACAACCACCCCCACCCCCACCATCAGAGGAGCAGAGGAGAGCACCTGGGGAAAAATTAACTATTAAAAACTATTGTTTTAGAAGTGAAACACTGTAATGATGATGTAATTTATATAAGTTTTTAAAACCTCTTCAGGAAAAAACAAATCCACATGTCGAAAAAAAAACCAACATACAAAACAGTGGAGAGTCTCTGGAGCATCAGGGCTCAGGTGGTCCGGTGGTCCAGTTGTTTCAATCCTGTCCTCACACCAGTACTCATCGTGTTCCACACCTGCAGAATAACAGATGAACTCTGCTCAGAGACGTATCACACTTTTTTGTGAAATAGGTAGAAATAATTCATGAACAAGTGAACTGAAAAGTGAAAATGCTGTTTTCAGTCATGAACAGATTGGTGTGTGTGTTTAATGCTTTCAATTGGTTTCAGTGAAACACTGTTATATTCCTGCCATGTTAAGGCGGTTTTGTATTACGTACACTCTTATATTACCTTCAGTTGTTGTGAAAATGCTGTACATATCAAAAATAAATTGGACTTTTGCAACATAGTCTATTTATAAACCTTGAAACTAGCTTCTGTCTCTTTAAAAACATCCTACCGTTTCTGACACTCCCACTTCAGCACATCTTCACAACAGTGTTTCATGCTGTTCACAACCTATAGTAGAAGAAAAGTCCAACCATTTTACATGAACGGTGTCATCCTTAGAAATTGTATTAAGAGGTAAGTCTTCTTGGCATCCAAAAAATACATATCCTCAAATAAGTTTGTTTGTTTGTTTTTTATCTGAAAAGGACTGGACTGAGAAGTACGGTAGTTAGAATTACAAGCTCGACAGACATGCATTTCCACCAGGTCTATTGGGGCTGTGTGGGGGAGGTTTAGGTGAGGGGTGATTTGTGGGCCGGGAACTTGGCTGGGGGTGGAGCTCCAGGGAGGAGCTTTGAGTAAATTGGTGGTGCTTTGTACCAGCAAGTGTTTAAATAGCTACCAAGAGATTCAAGGAATTTTCAAACATGCATGCATAAGTCAAATCACCACTCTGGGTATGTTTTTGATCAGAGAATGACATTATAACATATATACAGTGGGTAAAATAAGTATTGACCACATCAACATTTTTCTCAGTGAATATATTACTAGAGGTGCAAATGACATGAAATTTTCACCAGATGTTGGTAACAACCCAAGTGATCCATACATACAAAGAAATCAAACCATAAATGTCCAGAAATGAAGTTATTTGTAATAATGTGGAATGGCACAGGGAAAAAGTATTGAACACATGAAGAATTATAGATTTATTTATTGGCTGGGGGAGTTAGCAAGTGCCCATGTCAGTGCTTCTATTCTGAATAAAAGCCTGGTGCATGTAAACATTCGTCGTGATCGGATTGTGCCCATGCAAACCATATATTCTGATTATTTAATGCGAATACAGTTCAGTCTGATCAAAGAATTTTGCGCATGTAAACATAGCTACTGTTAAATGTAGAACATCCAGGGATTTATGGCTGATAAACAAGTTGTTGTCATACTGAGGCATGTTTGAGTGACTGTGTATCAAACCTGTTGCTGTTTAC